GTGTGTGTGTGTGTGTGTGTGTGTGTGTGTGTGTGTGTGTGTGTGCGTGTGTATTAGTGTGGGTATGCGTAATCTTATCGTACAGCAAGCCTTTTTTACGCTTGATGGCACGCAGCCCGCATGTGAGCCAGAACCAGAAACCAAAAAAACAAAACCAAAAAAAAAAACTCGAAGCACAAAATAAGAACAGGCCAAAGCCAAGTCAACGAGCTGACCGTTAAATGAATTGCCTGCTACACTATCTCGCTCTCTCTCACCCTCTCTCTCTCGCTCTCTCTTCCTCTATCTATTGGACGCTCTGCTCGCTATAACAATAGTGAAAGCAAATGCGTGAAAATGCTCCCAAGAGTCATGTTGCAATAAAACGAACGAAAAGTCAACAGAGGCAAGCAAAAGAAATTCCGCCGTAACGCACTGGATGTACCCTGCGCAAATGTTGGGAGACAGCTTCAGTGCGCAGTGAAAAATATTCATTAATTAATACGTAGAGCTCCAAGCTATTGGAACATAAATAAATTGCTTCGCTCTATGCATGCTACAGTAAACACTCGAAAATTTCGAACTACAATGGCTGAGCCTGGCCCAAGCCTAGTCAAGTAATATATAATTAATATGTTATTTATATTTTATAGTATTATTGCGAAATAAGCCGCCTGAGCGACCCATTTTGGGCATTGGGCTTAATGGCTCATAGCTGCTGGACTTTATGTGAATAGTAAAAATGATGAAGATATTTAAATGCCAAAGTTTGTGTCGGAAAAAGCAAAAGTTAACTCGTTCATTAGGGCCAACAAGCTTACGTTTCTAGTTAATGAACGCTATGAGAGTGTAAAGGGAAAATGGGTTTTATGCCTTCACTCCCCCAGTTTGGATCTTTAAGTTGATGAGCTTTGGCTGATCATTCGCATGAGAAGTTGAAATGCAGTGGAAGTGCCAGTGCTGGAGAACGACATTTGTATATTATTATTAATATTCTCGTTTGAATTTTTTGGTTTGTTCTACTCGACTGCGCAAATGTTAATGTGGGTGTAAACAGACTGAAGCTGCGAATTGTTTGTCGCGCTATCTCGCTCTGTATCTGTAAGTCGAAAGCACTTTGCAGTGTTGTAAAAGGTCATAAGTAGCTTGATCACGTTACGTCCTTGACATCTGACTGCAATCGATTGTGTGCTATCTATTTTAAGCTCTGTCCAAAACTATCTATTTCTCTCTCTCTCTCTCTCTCTCTCTCTTTCTCTCTTGCTATCATCTGAACATTCTACATATTACATACAAAATTTACTTATTACGTCTTTAAACAATCAATCGATCAATCAATAAAATAACAACAACAATCGAATCGAAAAAAAAAAACAAACAAAAATAATCGAAATTGAAACCAAAAACAAAAATTTCGCAATTCGTTTAGGAAATCGCGTATCGGAGATGGAGCTTCAGATCCAGATTCCGATTGGTAAGTCCTTTGCGTTTGTTACCAACTTTTGGTTAACTCTCACGCTCTGCACAACAACAACAACAACTACTACTATTACAACACGAAACACGCACACACACACATATATACACACACATTACACATACAACTCTAGCGATAAAAATTTAGCTAACGCTTTTTGATTATGTTGCAAAAATTGATTTTGGATAGTGATAATAATAAACATATTTGATAGTATTGATATTGCGAATGACGATAATAATAATTGATCGTGATTGATGATGACTGAGATGCATCTAATTGGCATGCGAAGCGCTTACTTTTTCAATTGCGTTTGGGCCACAGCAAGGCAAACGACAACAGTTTCAAACAACAACAACAACTACAACAACAACAACACTTGAATCTGCCATTTCTTTTCATTGTTTTCGTTTTCTTCTTGGTGGGCTAAGAAGCGAGCCGAACCCAAATCACATCCACACCCACACACACACACAGCCATACACCCACACACACACACACTCACTTTTGGTAATCCAATAGTTCACAAATAAACGAGTAGTTGCCATTTGCCAAATGCTTCTTAATGCAACCATCCAAGAATTTGGCAGACACTCACACACACACACACTCACACACACATAGAGACACGTGTATAAAGAACATGCCACGCCTAGCTCTTGTTTTTCTTTCGTTCTTTTTTCTTTTGTTTTGTTTTGTTTGTTTCTTGTTTGGTTTGGTTTCTCTTACTCTTAGCTAGCCGCATTGCAAGCTGCTTTCTGCTTATGAACCACATGACGTATGCGTAATATTTTAGGTAGCATCGAAAGTACTAAAAACCAACGCTGTAAATAGCACCAAAAAAAAAACTTTTATTAAAATACCAAATGCGAAATATAATGCAAACTATTTTGCCAAGTAAATAAAAAATAAAATTGTAGTTTGTATATACGAAAAAAATACCAAATAATACAAAAAAAAACTAATTTAATTGTGTGTGTGTGTGTGTGTGTGTGTGTGTGTGTAAATGCTATAAAAATTCGCTTTGTATGTGTGCAATTGGTGTCTCTGCTAATAACAAATTTGGCATTTGTACATAAATAAGCATTATAAAAATACCGAATAAAATACTACATCAATACTGAAACAAATACTTGTATATTAAAACACATATCGTTTGTACATATTGTATGTATATAATGCCGTTACTCATTCTCGTAGCCAGGCAATTTCGACATAGACCTATCATGGCCACTACCGATTCGAGCAACAACAAATACCAAAAAAAAAAAAAAAAAATCAAATCAAAAATCAAAAATGAACCCCCAACAACAAGAACAACATTAAGCGGAAATACTTCAAATGCCTATCCAATTCCGATTCCAGTTCCCCAAAAGTATTCCAAATGCCAGCTCCAAATTCCCAGCATTCCAATTGCACTTGTAGTCGTGTTGTAGTCGCACTCGCATGCCCTGTAGCCAGTGAAAGAGACAAAAAAAGAAAATAAAAAAACCAAAAGAGCAACTTGAGTTGCTAATGGAGTCGTCTGATTCCTAAGACTGCAAGATAATTAACTAAAGGGAAGCTCAATGAATATCTACTTCCAGTTCCAAATCTCTACTCTAATCTACTCTACTCTACTCTATTTAAAGTCTAAGAAATAAAGTGTAATAATAAATTTCAATCTACTTTTGTAAATCTTAAAGCTCTACCTGCAACTCCTCTACCTCATACTCCAATATCACACAGAAAATTATCAAATTGAGCACAATTTCCACTGGTTACAGCGTATTTGATAGTCGTTCCTGCTGCGACTATTGCACTCTTAGCTCTTACACTGATTTCTTTTCGGCTTTGCATTTTTCTTTTGCTCCACCAATATTATTATTTGTTTTAGTTGTTTGACAGAGCTTTTAGCATTTGTCTGTCTGGTTCAGAAAAAATACTCAACAAAACAAAAGAACAAAAAATAAATAAAACAAAAAATAAGCTCTCAAACCCCAATTCCCGATTTTATGGAAATTGTTTTCTATGCCAAAAAAAAAAAGAAGCAGAAAAATAAAAAGAAAAATGAAATGAAATAAAACTCAAATTGAAACTACAAAATTGGCAAAATTGCAGTTGTAACCGAACTTGGGTCTGCTTCCTTTTTGCAACTGTTGTGGAATTTAATTTTCCGCCCGCTTGTTTTTCATTTTGCTCCCTTTCTTTTTATACACTCTCATTTCTCAATTGTTTCCACTGCATGACGGCGAATATGTTTATGAAGCTTGCCATGCAAATGCTTTCAGCTTGCACAAGATCTATGTATGCTACTACTATTACTACTACTACTACTACTACTACTACTACTACTATTTATACTACTATTGCTACTACTACTCATACTCTTACTACCGAGGAAGCAGATGAACATCAAAATAAATACTTTGCCATTTTTGCATGCCTGATTGCCGTTAGAGCGTTAAAACGTAGATGGGAGACGCCAAGGAAGCCGGAGACGGAGACGCAACTGTATACGGCTGGCTGCCTTGTTCCACCCATTTGACGGTACTTCCTTTCTGGCCATGCCAGGCCATTCCAGAGCTCCTTCCATCCTTGTCGCCTTCCTTGCTGCCCAGTCAGCTGTCAGTTGTCTCCGTCAGGACGTCTCCTGCCCAGTCCAGTTCAGCCCAACCTCTACCCCTCTACCCCTCTAACCCTCTACCCCTCTCTTCCAAGCACCTGACCACTCAACATCTGTTTTACTGCGTGCTTTTCTATGTGTGTGTGTGTGTCTGTTAACCGTTAACCGTTAACCGTTTACCGTTTACCATTGCCCGTTAGATGGTAGCGTTGCCATATCGTTACGTGCCATGTTTTGAGTGCGTTCACATTACGTTACGTAACGTTTAATGAATGTTTATTGCTCCCACCACGCATAGCGTAAGTGTGTGTTCGTGTTGCGTAAGTTACGAGCTAATTGCAAATAGACTAGTGCACCCCACTTGTAGAGTCCCCCATGCACTGTACGTAGTCCTAGCAAAAGCCAAAACCCAATCTAACGTAAATCGCACGCTTTGCATTGATCAGCTCTGTTGCATTTGACTAATCTACCTATGAACCTGACTTACTCTCTTACCTTCTTACTCTCTGTACCAGTTTCTTTTCACTAACCGATCTAACCGGTCTTGAACTACGCCCCATTTCCTGCTCCCGTTCAGCTCCCGTAGTTGCTTGATCTTTTCAGTTTGAAACCAGCTGTAGCAATTAGTTGTAGTTTAGTTAGAGCAGAGTTGTTCGCTTTATCGATGACTTGTGATCCTTGAACGTGTGTCTTTTGTGGCATATCCTCGTACAGGACACGCTCAAATCAGCGCTGGATGAAACTCCGCACCACCGTACAAATCTCATCGGCCATACAGAAGAAACCACCGCTCAAGCGCGAAGACTCATTCCTGAAGCGTTTCTCAACTAGACAGATACCCGAAACACAGGTGAGCTATTTCAAAGAAGAGATTCGATTCGACTCGACGCGACGTTGATTCATGCCCTGCAATTGCCATTCACAGGAAACTGTTGAAGACACGGGTTCAGAAAGTGCCTCTGGTGACGTCGACAAAACGGTGAAGCGTCGACGACGTTATCTGCAGAAACGACGCTCCGTTGTTAATCCAGATGAAAATTTTTACTTCTATTGGTTAATGATGTTAACAATATGTGTTCTCTATAATCTATGGACCCTAATTGTGAGGCAGAGCTTTCCTGAACTGCAGGTAAGTCAGTGAATGTTACGCGACCGGACCATTAATGTCAAACCTTTTGTGTTGTCCTCCGCCCTTCACCTTTTTTTTTGTGCCCCTTTTGCCGCCGCCTCTCCGTCGCCCCATTGAGGAAAGAGAACACCTTTTGTCATAATGCTTCAAGTTCTGTAAGATGAGTTGACTTGCTGCTTAATAATAATGCCCGACGGCCATAAAATTTCCTCAAACAATGAAGTTTATTAGGTATTTCAGTAAAAGACGAGAACGAGAAAAGGCAACTCCCACGAGTCCTTGAATTCTTGCTGGGGTCCTTTTAAAAGTGGGCTTAATAACTTAACTAGCTGAAGGCGAGGCAAGCCAAGGTAATATGGCTACAGCTACAGAAAAAAGACGGAAAAGAATAAAGAAAACATTCTTGTCAGGGCAACGCAACGGCATGAGGGATGCTGATTAGTCTTTAGGTTTGCCCAAATGTAAAGCCACGCAAGATTTTTATAACTCATCCAGTCAACGTGGACGACGCCGATTGTGTGCGGCTTGCGATACATGAAGTAAATGTGTTTTACTCTATCCATAAAAAGGTCGATGTGCTTGGTCGGAATGGAATTCGTTTAAGGATGGCAATAACATGGAGTTTATCAGCAAGGAAGTTAATTAGGCACAGTTCCATATATGGTAGAGCTTATGGCAGAGCGAGAAAATTCTTTCTATATAAACTCTAATTGATATTTACATCATGATATTTAGGAAACTACATAAGCTATGATGCATAAAAATCGATGTACATATGCAATTCAAGGGTCTGTCGCTATAACCGGAAGACGTTTTTATCGAATAAGTCTGCTCATATAAGTTTGTCTGGGGACCAGACCAAAAAAAATTATCGCAATAGCCGTACGGATATTATAAATGGAGTCGTTATAGCAGGATTGGAATGTCTTTGCAGTATTTTATTTTATTTATTTATTTTTTTATTCAATTGATGGAAAATATATTTTTTTGATTTTTTTTATATCTATATCATTAATAAAAAATTTTATTATAATTGGTTTACTCTCTATTTGTCGCTTAGATTTTATTTTATTTTTTAAATTTTTATTTCTTTAATTGATTTTTTTAAATTAAATTTTATTTTATTTATTTATTTATTTTTTTTAATATAGTAAAAAAAGTTATTCAATTGAGTAAAAATATATAATATTCCAATTTTTTTATATTTATATCATAGGGTTGCCTAATTAAAAATTTTATTATAATTGGTTTACTGTCTATTTATTGCTTACATTTTCTTTTAATTAATTTTTTTATTTTTCTTTTAATATGACAAACAAATTTATTCAATAAAAAAAATATAAAATATTCCAATTTTTTGCATATCTATATAATAGATCTTGCCAATATAAAAATTGTATTATAATTGGTTTACTCTTTATTTATCGCTTATATTTTATTTTCATTAATTTTTTTTTTTTAATTTTTATTCTATTATATTTTATTTTATTTGTTTAGGAATAAACCAAACAAATTGATTCAATTGAGAACAAATATAATTTTCCAATTTTGTTTACATCTATATCACAGGTCTTGCCAAATTATCTCTCTATCTATCGCTTATATTTTATTTTTTTATTTTTATTACTATAATTAATTTTTTAAATTTTATTTTATTTTATTTATTTATTTTTTAATATAATAAAAAAAAGTTATTCAATTGAGTAAAAATATATAATATACCAATTTTTTATATCTATATCATAGGTCTTGCTTAATTCAAAATTTTATTATAAATGGTTTACTCTTTACTTATCGCTTATATTTTAATTTTATTTATTTATTTTTTTAATTTTTTTCTATTTTATTTTATTTTATTTTATTTGCTTAGGAATATAACAAACAAATTTATTCGATTGAGAGCAAATATAATTTTCCATTTTTTTTTATACCTATGCATGTCTTGCCAAATTAAAAATTTTATTATAATTGATTTACTCTCTATCTATCGCCTATATTTTCTATAGGGTATGCGCAACTTGTCATAACCAGGACCTTTTTTTTGGCATGCTTTCTTTCTTTCTTTTCTGTATTTTTATAATTTTCTGCTCTTCTCTGTGTGTGTGTGTGTTTTTTTTTTTGTGGCTGACGTTTCGTAATGACTCAATTAAAAGACACGCAGACGGCTCAAGAGCGGCCGGTGC